GTCATAAATTGGGGAAATAATCTCTTAGAAGCACAAATCTCTTATTAACTGTATTTTGTTTCATTAGATTATGATTGTGGTCTGAGTTTTGGTGAGGTTACTGAAAGGGTTTCCCCTCTACAGTGAGGAAGGAGGAAGTCATTAGGGGAGAGACTTCAAGCTGCAATCAGGAAGTGGCTAAACCACAATAGGGTGCTGCAGAGATTCTTTCCTTTCACTCTGAATGGCTCACATGCTCAGCTTAAATGCCGATTCTCCCTTGCTGTCAATGATCGGGATTCCCAAAGTGGCCACCACTCTGCTTCCTAATATTTTGAAGGCCTGAATTTAGTGTGCTTTAGGAAACAGAAGGATGTCTGCAGAAGTGTCGGATTGGATTGTTACTCACACCTCCATCATGCTTCATCCTCACTGGTAATTCCATTCTCTGATCCCTTGCAGGATCAGACTCGCTGCCAACAAAACTAGCTCAGCCCCTCATGAGTGTATGTGCAAAACTACCAGGATCCTGGTATACTGTGAACTGCATGAAAATGTTTCCAGATAATTAGAAATTGCATAACATGTTCATTTTCTACATTTTCTACCTCTTATACAAATCCAAGCAGCTTATATAAAAACAATAAAAATACAACATTTAATACAGTTTTATAAAAATCAGATAAAACCAAAATGCAAATGCAAATTTGCAGTTTACGAAAATATACCATTTGTATATTACACACTGATAAAAGTGAGCAGTACAGACGTTTCCCCACTTATGCAAGGGTTACGTTTCCGGGTACCACACGTATACGTGATATCACATATAGTAGGGAACACCATCTAAAAAGCCTTCTAAACCTCTGGAAACCTTTGCAAAATCCTTTAAAAAACCAGAAGCACTTACCAGACTGGCATGAATTGTGGCAATGATGGCTCTTAGTCTTCCTCATCACTGGAGGGTGATGTGGAATCAACAACAAGGGCAGGGAGACTGGTGCCCCGAAGAGCCTGGCTCTGTGTCAGATTCACTTGCTGTTGCTGGTATCTTTTGGGGCCGTTTTCGCGTCTTTTTGCAATTTAAATTGATTTATTTCCTGTCGTTACACGTATACACAGATGTGCAAGCTGAATGCATGTAAGTGGGGAGACACCTGTATACAAAACAATAAAATTAGAAAGTTAAGAGCCAGGGTTAATGAAAGCTTGCATAAACTTTTAAGATGCATTTAAAGGTCATTACTCTCTCTACCACACTAATACCTGACAGAGAACATTCCAAAGGATGGGTACTATCACCAAGAAAGCCTGCTTGCAAATTGTCACACACAACATTTTATTCTAGAACCACTGGAGATGGAATACTTGTTTTCAGTCCTCACATAATCTAGATCTATTGCATATATATTTTGCCCCTGAAAAGTGCTTATTGAGAAACTGGTGATGAAATAATAATATTGAATATTCAATACATTCTTTGGTTATGTATGCATGTATTAATGAGTGTCTGGGCATGTGTAGAGTTTATAGTGACATGGAAGCATATTGAGGGCAACAGTGTCAATAAGTGTTCTAATTTCAAAGGTAATTCTTCTCCCCACGTAAGAATGCAACCTAAAGAGTCACTTTGTAAAAAAAGATGAAATTACCAGTAGAGTTTGTCAGGGAAGCCCCCAAATTTATGATCACATTTTAGAAATTCTCAAGGTTTGTTTTCTCCCCCCACTTTCTGATATAAAAATGCAGTTTCAATGCTGAGGTAAGACTGCAGAGTAGCACCAGTGAGAGGATGTACTGAAGCCTGGTAGGGAAGCAGTTTATAAATATAGTAAATAGCTTGCTGGCTGCAGCAGATTGATTTTTTTTAATTGCCAGGACCAAAACCCAACACTTTCTCCATCACCATATGCATGTTTGCTTCAGAGAAAGTCCTAATGAATAAACCCCCCTGCACAGGATGTTGGCCTCGGCAAGGATAGGCGTGCTGCCTGTTGATTTTCCACTCTACATAGGATCGGGATGTGAGGATGTGAGGGAAAGGAGGAGAAATGAGAAGAACACTCTGTGACAGCATCAGAGGACTCTGTGTGGGAGCCAAAGATGGCAAGCGGGAGGCAGGAAGAGATAACAGAACGGAGGGCAGAAACATACAAAGGCAACTGTGTCAGTTGCAGCTAATGAGGGCGCGGAAGGGGAGAGAGGGCGGCAGCGAGATCAGGCGCAACCCCCCCCCCCCTGCAGCTGCGGCTGCTGTGCGCCAAGCCTTTAATTGCTCTCTGACTCAGGCCGCGCATCATAGCGGTGCCACAATGGAACCACCGGCCGGCTTCTTCCCTGCTGAATAATTTACCCTTTCTACGGCAGCAATTAATTAGCTCTAATGAGAGAGGAGCAGGTCCAGGGAAAAGATATTAAGAGCAGCAAGGTATTTTGTGCAGCCTGGTGTGGGGATCTGGGCTGAGCAGGCAGCACACACTTGTGGCTCCTCAGGAGGCTCCTGGCTGCAAAAGGCCATCCCCAGCGGAAGCGAAACACATCCAAAGTGGTGGGTGCCAGGGAGGACCACAGACCTGCATCCCAGGAACCCCCTTGGGGAAACGACGCCGCAAAGCCGATCTCTTCGCTTATGCGCAGTGGCATTTGGAGTTGGGCTTTGGGGCTCATCCTTGGGCAAAAAAAATGAGAGGCACAAATACAAGATGGGGGTCACCTGGCTTGAGAGCAGTACATGTGAAAAGGATCTAGGAGTCTTGGTTGACCACAAACTTGACATGAGCCAACAGTGTGACGCGGCAGCTAAAAAAGCCAATGCAATTCTGGGCCTCATCAATAGGAGTATAGCATCTAGATCAAGGGAAGTAATAGTGCCACTATATTCTGCTCTGGTCAGACCTCACCTGGAGTACTGTGTCCAGTTCTGGGCACCACAGTTCAAGAAGGACACTGACAAACTGGAACGTGTCCAGAGGAGGGCAACCAAAATGGTCAAAGGCCTGGAAACGATGCCTTATGAGGAACGGCTAAGGGAGCTGGGCATGTTTAGCCTGGAGAAGAGGAGGTTAAGGGGTGATATGATAGCCATGTTCAAATATATAAAAGGATGTCATATAGAGGAGGGAGAAAGGTTGTTTTCTGCTGCTCCAGAGAAGCGGACACGGAGCAATGGATCCAAACTACAAGAAAGAAGATTCCACCTAAACATTAGGAAGAACTTCCTGACAGTAAGAGCTGTTCGACAGTGGAATTTGCTGCCAAGGAGTGTGGTGGAGTCTCCTTCTTTGGAGGTCTTTAAGCAGAGGCTTGACAACCATATGTCAGGAGTGCTCTGATGGTGTTTCCTGCTTGGCAGGGGGTTGGACTCGATGGCCCTTGTGGTCTCTTCCAACTCTATGATTCTATGATTCCTGTCTTCTCAGCAATAAAGAACCATAGCTGTCAACTTTTCCCTTTTCTTGCGAGGAATCCTATTCAGAATAAGGGAATTTCCCTTTAAAAAGGGGAAACGTTGGCAACTATGCAAAGAACCCAAGTTCTGCGGGGCGAACCAGAGCCAGGTGGTCCTGCAGGATGAGGCCGAGACCTTCGCTGCCTGAGGCACAACAACAAAAGAGCTCCCTTCCAGACCGAGGCTGCCCATTATTGCGGCACTCAAGGCAGAAAATCCTGCAAGTGGAAATAAAACCACAGTAACAAGGCATTGTTAAGCTAAAGGTGATGGAGTCTCCTTTATTGGAGGTTTTTCAGCAAAGGTTGGGTGCCCACCTGGCAGGGATGATTTTGCTGCGATCCCTGCATGGCATTGGCATTGGTTGGACTAGATGAACCTCAGGAGTCCTTTTGATGGAATAACTAACGATTTGCACCTTTTCCTGCCTCGTGAAAAACCAGCCGCCACGTTGCTTTACTTCGCCGCAGAGCTGGCCTTGGTAACCTGCCTGCTGCTGCAGAGTTCAATGGCTGCCATTCTGGAGACAATAAATGCAGTGGGAATATGGAGAAGAGAAGCTGGGAGCTACTCTGGGGTGACCAGCTCCCTAAAATGGAGAGTGGCATTCCCCAAAAGTCACTGAGAGGCTTTCACCAGTTCTTCCCTCACATGTCACTTCTCAGTCTTCCCTCAGCGGTTTCTCAAAATGGCGCCTGTCGCCCAGGTTCGGGTTGGAAGAAATCAGCTGTTTGTTGAAAAAACAATGAATTGGCTTAAAAAAACCTTTCACTGGAAAATGTTGATTCAGCCATCTAGCCATTCAGAAACTCTGAAGCAAGATGGGAAGAAGCTGCTGGGTGTCTTTATCACCTGGGGCACTCAGTCTCTGCCCAGCGGCCATTTCGTTTTTGGCCCAACGCTTCCCAACTCGCCGGCTTCGCTCGAGTTTCTCATGCCACGGATGTGATCTGCCCTCACACTCTTCAGTGCTGCAGCTGAGCTGGGTTTTCTTTCCAACGTCTTCGGACGGTGCTCTTGGGAGTCAAAGAGTGAGGTGTTCCATTTCGCAAAAAGATAAATTTGGAGCATTACGGGTGCAGATCCTTGTGGGAACCCTTTGCTAAAGTCGCCCTGTGTGTAAATAACTCGCTGACTAATCGTTGCTCAATTGAGCTGTATAGAAATTGCTTGGAGAAGTTTTGGTGAAAACGACAAGCTAACAAATGCTTTTTAAAAATAAAAAAGCTCATGATATATCAGGGAGAGACGGGGTCTTCGTGAGGGCGGCCCCCCTTGCCTTTCTCCCGCCACCTCATCTTTCCTCACGAGAAACCGCAGGGGGGGAGGGGCGCTGAGGCGAGGGAGGAGACGAAAGGCGGGAAACTTGGCCGCACAAGACAAGCGTGCGCCTGCGCGCCATGTCGCGGGCGCTTGCGCAGTGGGCAGCGCGGCTTCTGGTCACGGATTCTTCGCCGCCGCGCGCGCCCCGCCGGGGTCTCTCCTGTGCGCGCGCGCGCGAGTCCCCGCCCCCCTCGGCCACGGCTTCCCCGCCTCCCTCCCGAGCGCGCCTGCGCCGAGCCGCGCGCCTCAGTGACAGCCGCCTCCGCCCTCGCCCTGCTGCTGCTGCTGCTGCTGCTGCTTGTGGTGGTTCTTCTTCCCGAGGGCGGCCGAGCCGGCGCCGCGGCCTGTGAGGCGCTTCCAGGGAGGCGGGCGATGCGGCCGAGCGGCCCGCCGTGAGGGAGGCGCGGCCCTGGCGCAGCGCCATGCGGCGGGGCCCGGAGCGGCCTGGCGGGAGCCCGAGCAGCGCGGTCTTCGGCGGCACCCAGAACCCCGGCAGCGGAGGCGGCGCGGGCGGCGGAGGAGGCGGCGGAGGCGAAGGCGGCCCGGGCCCGCGCTGAGAGCCGCTGCCTAGGGAGAAGGGCGCGCTCGGAGGGCCGCGGCCATGGCCTCGTCGTCGGCGTCGCCGCCCTCGGGCTCGTCGGCGCACCAGCAGCTCCTGCAGCAGCAGCAGCAGCCTCAGCCCCAGCGGCGCCGGCTGAGCACCGAGGTGAGCTGCGACTCGAGCGGCAGCGGCGGCGGCGGCAGCGGCAGCGTCACGGTGAGGATCTGCGCCCGGAGCCCCCCGGGGGGCCAGCCGGCCAAGGCCAGCATCTCCTCCTCCAGCGGCAGCAGCTCGGGAGACGCGGCGGCGGCGGCGGCGGCCAGGAGGGCCCAGGCGGCGGCGGCGGGCGGAGGGAGAGGCGGCCGGGGCAAGAAGAGAGACAAGGGCGGCGGCGGCGGCGGCGCCTTCGGGCTGGGCCTGGGCCTCGGGCTGGGCCTGGGCTCCCGGCGGCGCTCGACGCGGCTCCCGCAGCTGTTCGAGCGCGCCTCGGCGCAGTGGTGGAACCCCACGTTCGACTCTTGCAACCTGGAGGAGGCCTGCCGGGAGCGCTGCTTCCCGCAGACGCGGCGCCGCTTCCGCTACGCGCTCTCGTACCTGGGCGCGGCGGGGCTGCTGTGGGGCGGCTACTTCGCGCTGCGGCTGGGGCCCCCCGGCGGGGAAGGGCGGCGGCGGCGGCAGGCCCCCTTCGTGGCGCCCGCGCTGGCCTTCCTGGCCGCCTGCCTCGCCTTCTTCGCCTTCACCTTCACGCGCGCCTACGGGCGCCACCCGGCGCGCACCTCGCTGGCCCTCGTGCTGCTCGTCTTCGCCATCACGCTGGCGCCGCAGCTGCAGGCGCTGGGACCCCCGGCGGCGGCGGAGGGGGGCCTGGACGAGTGGGGGGCTCCCGTCGGGCCCTCGCCGCCGTTGGGGCCCTGCCTGTCGCAAGTGGGCAGCTTCTCCATGTGCATCGAGGTGCTGCTGCTGCTCTACACCGTCATGCACCTGCCCCTCTACCTGAGCTTCTTGCTGGGCCTCTCCTACTCGGTCCTCTTCGAGACTTTCGGCTACTACTTCCGCGAGGAGAGCTGCTTCTCGCCCTTTGGGGAGCGCCTCCTGGCCTGGGACCTGCTCAGCAAAGCCCTGCTGCACGTGTGCATCCACGCCACCGGCATCCACCTCTTCATCATGTCCGAAGTCCGGTCCAGAAGCACCTTCCTGAAAGTGGGGCAGTCCATCATGCACGGCAAAGACCTGGAGGTGGAAAAGGCCCTCAAGGAGAGGATGATCCATTCCGTCATGCCCAGGATTATTGCCGACGACCTGATGAAGCAGGGGGACGACGAAAGCGAGAACTCCGTGAAGCGCCACTCCACCTCCAGCCCCAAAAACAAAAAGAAAAAGCCTTCCATACAGAAAAACCCCATCATATTCCGTCCTTTTAAAATGCAGCAGATAGAACAAGTCAGTATTTTGTTTGCGGATATTGTGGGCTTCACAAAAATGAGTGCCAACAAGTCTGCGCATGCTCTGGTGGGACTCTTGAACGATCTCTTTGGTCGCTTTGACCGCCTGTGCGAGGACACAAAATGTGAGAAGATAAGCACTTTGGGGGACTGTTACTACTGCGTGGCAGGGTGCCCTGAGCCCCGGGAGGACCATGCTTATTGCTGCATCGAGATGGGGCTGGGCATGATTAAAGCCATTGAGCAGTTTTGTCAGGAAAAGAAAGAGATGGTGAACATGAGGGTTGGTGTTCACACTGGGACGGTCCTGTGTGGCATTCTGGGGATGAGAAGGTTCAAGTTCGATGTGTGGTCCAATGACGTCAACTTGGCCAACCTTATGGAGCAACTGGGCGTGGCAGGAAAGGTCCATATTTCAGAAGCTACTGCAAAATACTTAGATGACCGCTATGAAATGGAGGATGGAAAGGTGACTGAGCGTGTTGGTCAGAGTGTGGTTGTAGACCAGCTTAAAGGTATATATATATGTGTGTGTGTGTGTCTAAAATGAACTGGTATACTTCAATACTTTCCTCCCATAGTTTCTTATGCTTGTTGTGCTGACATGGGCAAGTCTGGACACATCAAGTACAACATCTGAGATTCAGAGTTTTAGTTTTGAGGTTGTCCTTGCTGATTCTTCAAGGAATGAAAGATAAGGTATTTGATGTCATATGCTTGGCGGTTGCAATGCTTTCTGATTTTAGAACTGATTATTTTAAAGGGCACTTTTAATGTTGTATTTTTAATCGTCTGCCAGATATTTTATAGTTCATATACTTTCATATAGTCTGTACTTAGGGTGATTGGGTTTTCAAGTGATTCATAGGCTTCTAGAAAAAATATGACACTCAGAAAAAAACTTTGTCTTCATGCTGAGGAGCAGACTGCAGGACACCTCATATTAAGGCAGATTTGCTTTTTGGTTTCTCCAGAAAAATACCGCTATTTGGTGAGTTGTAATGGTTAGAACTTGACTTATAAAGTACTAACCTATTTTGTTGAAGCTACAAATAGATTTGAGGCACCCAGTTACAAATCTGTTCCTTAGAGAACTTGTGGCAGTTTGACAAATACTTTAGGGAAAAGGCATATATTTTAATGAATTTCAAATAGAAGTCAGAACTTAAAAGAATATGTGTTAGATGCTCCTCCGAAAACAGTCTAATAATGTTTTGTTTCAGGTACTTTGTACTGTATTTATGAGTCTGAAGAACAGATGAAAGAGCTGAATGTGATCCAAAATGAAGTATTTGATACTGTTTTAATTAATAGTCCAGTTTTAGAAACTGTAGGCAAGAGCAGAGTGCACTGGAAGGGAGTCAGCTAAGTGTGAGTGACAGATGGGGCATGGAGCATAAAATGACATAAAATATGCAAAGCTAAAGCTTCCTCAAGACAGCTTGGAAAATGTCTCCATCTTTCCTCCTCTTGAGATTTCTTAGCATGGTGAAATTTAAAAGGCAGAAAGTTTAAATGTAGTAATGGACTCAGCCTTCCTTCCTTGACAGCAGATGAAGGGTACCTGTAATTGTTATCTGTATAAATTGTTTTGAATTTCAAACTGTCATTTGACCTCGACCAAGTCAGCTGCTGTTATGGCAACCTGATTTTTGAAGAAAGTCTGTGCTGTTTATTCTGTAGCTCCCAGAAGTGTACAAGATATGCTGCACCCTAGGACACCAAGGCTAATTTATATTTATTATATATCTATTTCTTTATAACATTTATAGTCTGTGTTTCCAGTACAGAATACTCCTAGGTCAGTAGTTGCAAATACAGTACTATAGTGAAATCGCGCTCTCTCTCTTTTTAAAGAAAAAGGGTTTCTGGCTCTTCCCGATGTGGTAGAAAGCCTTTGATGTGAATGACTACCACAAAGCGCCTACTTGCTGTTCTAGCAATACACTTAAGCATTTAACAAAGATAAGACATAATTAGAAGATTTTCTTATGTCTATCCTGCAGAGGAGCATTGTGCTGTGTAAAGAGAAGCCTTTGTTTTCTGCAGCAACACACTTAACACTGAATGGATGTTTAACTTGCATACACTGGATAAATTCAGTTAAAAACCTGATTTTATGGGTAGTTCTAAATTGGGTTAAGCTTTGTATAGTGTTATATTGAAAATATAATAAACACATGCAGGTAATTAATATGGTTATGTCACTCTCATGGCTTTTATTTACATTCAGCTCAGTTTAGTGAAAGAGGGATTAAAGTATGCAGGAAAGAGCTTTGAATACTGTTAGTATACTAGATGTACTAGATGCAGGAGTCTTTGTTGCTGCAGTTAACTTATCATAGGTTCCCCTCTGGAAAATTAATTCAACAGGACTTCTGTTTAAGATGTGCATAGGGTTGCAGCCTTGGAAATGTTGAAGGGGTCTTACCTTGAGTGGTGGTGGATCAGCTTTGTGTCCTGAAGGACTTCTGTGTGTACACAAGCCATTCTGCTTACTGCTAAATGTTTTTGACACCGTGTTTGCTGTAGGAAGATAATCTGCAAGCCATTAGGCTGTACCTCATTGCTAAACTGGTGGGGAGGGGGGCAGAGTCCTGCTAGCATTCAGCTAGACGAGAAAAGTCTTACAATTATTCAGATGCTGCAGTGCAGTAGTCCTTGGTGCAGGATTCCCACTCTTCATAACATGTAAAGTGTGTTTGTGTGTGTTGTTTTTTTTAAGCAAACATTCACACTTGCCAATGAAATCAAGTGCTACTGCGTGGGACAGAAATGCCTACAGTATTCAAAAATTGTAAAATACTGCGGCCCTGTATTGTATAAGCCTGTTCTTGCCTTTCTTTTTATTGTGAGGGATTAGGAAGGCAGGAAAAGGGAAACAAAAGTCTGTTAAGAGCAGTTGATGAAATGTCTTTTTGTTGCCAAAGGATGGGCCTGACCGTTCCCAAGAGGAGAAGGGAGCCATGGGAATAGCTGGCTCGCTGGCAGTAGTAGCTGGCTGCTGCGGTTTGCCTAGTCATAGTGGAGTGCACATTTGAGAGAGGGGTTCTGCAAACAAGTGGGGAGGAGGGATAGTAGTAGTGGAAGAATGGTTTCAGCTCTGTTAACTGTAATTTTCCTGTAGGTTTGAAAACATACCTGATTTCTGGTTTGAAAGTGAAGGAGCCCCCCTGCAGCTGCTCACAGATGCTGCTTCCAGGTCTAGAAGCAGGAGACAGAAGCAAGTTACAGGGAACCTCATCAGCAGAGAATGTTGGCAACTTAGCAAAAGGTTTCAGACAGTTGGAAAAAAACAAGGTTTGTCAAATGTATTCTTCAAACTTCTAAGGGTTTTTAATCAGAAACTTGTTTCAGAAGCTTTTGTTGGGGACATTAAATAGCCACTTGGGTGGTTGGAGTAGAACTAGGAACATGCACCACTGAATCCTTGAAGAAGGAGAAACAGAAAGATTTCATTCTTCATTTTATTGCTTATGAAGCCCTAAAATGAGAGAGGAACCATACTGGGTGATAACAGCTAAAGTGGAGGGTTGGCTGCGAGAGACCCGGTTCAAATTCCCATTCTGCCATGAAGCTCCCCAGGTGAACAGTTCTCCATATCTCAGTGCAACCTCCCTCACCGCAGCAGTGTTAGTGCGGAAACACTGCTTTGAGTTCCTCGGAGCAGGTGGCAAATGGAACAAGGGGGTGGCAGGGAACTCTTGTTCTCGGGTCCTGATCCTTAAGTACGATTTGTGGCTTCAGATCCCCAAATGTATGTGGGAAGAGACACTTCTTAGCTGTGCGCAATTTGGTGTGCTCTTCCGAGCATTTGTTCCTAGTGCAATATTTGTTCCAGCTAACCAGTCACTTTTCAGGGTTGCTTTTCTGATATCTGCATGGGAAAAATAACTGATTGAAATTTTTGTGTGTGTGTTGCTTACAAAGTAAAGCAGGTGACAGAGCAGAGACCTTTTGGTTTTATTTTAGCATAAAAGCATTCTTTAGCTTAAATGCTGTGATGGTAGAGAAACAAGAGTCCATTGATTCTAATGCCTGCCTTAATCATACCACTTAAACTTTCTCATAAAATTGTCAATAAATGTATCAAAAGCTTGAAAAAGAAGGGAGGACTCTGCCTCAAGGAGCTTGTGAGGAGGAGGGGGGGATGTCTGTTTCATTAAGCCAAAGCACGTGCAAACTGAACTGAAGCATTGTGTTAGGAACAAACTATATATTATTCTTAATTTGCAATATATATTAACATTTTAAATATAAAAATACTGTATACTGGAGATTGGGTTCCCCACCCCTATGCTGTTAGCTACCCTGGCACCCTTTGGAGAGAAAGGGTGGGATATAAGTTTTTTTATTTGTTAACTAAAAACAATGGTGTGTTGGCAGGAGCTGATGGGAGCTGTAATAAAAACATCTGGGGTGCACCTTGCTGGTTAAAGGGTGTTCCAGAGCCATTTTGAGTGCAGTCAGCAGCCCTGAGAGGCTTAGGTACAAATCCCATATTCTTTGCTCTGTAGATACTTGGTTCATCTTGGCCCGTATAAGCCTTCACAGGGTGGTGGGAGGGGTGAATAAATGAGATGTAAGGTTGTTATCAGCCTTGAGTTTGAGATGTAGGTAGGATGAACATGCCGTCAGTATCAACTGATGCATTTGTAGTTTTTAATTCATAGCAAGTCTGTTAAATATTTTCCTCATCCCTTTAGGCTATGGTTCTTTATGTGATTGTGTGTTTTCAGTAAAAAAAGGATATGATTATTTTCATCTGCAATTGCAGATGAAATATTAAGGATTATGGCAGCGTGGCCATCCTTCAAATTTATAATGAATCTTGAATAAGGTGTTTCAGTATAGCCCTGGAGTGTCAGAGACAGCTGCACACCATATAGAGCTTCACCCTGTATCTATGTCACATGAATGGATTGCTTCCTGGGGGTCATAATCCTCAGGAATTTAAAACATTCATAGAATTGTAGTGTTGGAAGGGATCCCAAAGGTCATCTATTCCAACCCCCTGCAATGCAGGAATCTCAATATATACGTTATTACCATTAAACTTATTTCCAGTGGTTGGATTGTGCTAAAAAAAGGTTTCAATCAATGGAAGTCAAATTATCAACACAGGGAAAGTGCTTTTAATGGTTGATCTTTCAGAAATGAGCTTTTACTTTCCAAATCTTATGTATTGAAATTCAAACACAAATTATTCTGTGCGGCAAAGGGTTGCAACAAAATACATCACTTTAAGTGCCCAGCCCTGAATTGGTCAAGGAAAACCCCACGATTGTGCAAAACAGGTGGGGAGGGGGAGCCATGCTTGTTGCATTATTATGAGGCTTTTCAGTTTTTGAATGCTGCAGCCTGTGTATACATGAGCCACAGGACAGGCTGTGGGAGCAGTGGAAGGGACTGAAAAAGAGAAATCTAATAATTGATTTTGGGATGGTCACCTATCAGAAATTTGAAGTGGGTTGATAACCCTTCCACAAAGGCAACATTGATGGTCTGGAAGAAACAGAAGTTCAAGATCATACAAATAAGGACTTGTCTACACGAATAGAAAACCTGTATCAGTAGAGAGGATTGCCACTCCACATTAACTGGGTCCATTTGCACCACCTGCATTATTTTATAGCAAACCAAGTTACTAGAGAAACAGGTATAAGGGACCTCACTCATTTGAAGCATCTGATTTTGGAGAATGAGCATTCAACACGAGGCTTTGTCTCCGAAGTGTGTACTTTATTGTAAGTGACCTCCTTGGCTCTTTCTATCTATGGGACCAGCACGGGTGGCCAGGCCTGGTGAACTTTTAATTCCTTACCCCTACGGTTATGATTAATGGGTTCCCACTTTATTTTATTTTTATTTTAAATGTGATTCGAATTGTATTTTAAACTAATTGTTTGATTTTGTGTTTTTAATGTATTATATATTTGGTGTTAGCCGCCCTGAGCCCAGTCTCGGCTGGGGAGGTCAGGGTATAAATAAATATTATTATTATTATTATTATTATTATTATTAAATGAAAAAATCATTTGGCTCATTGAAGAACTAACAGGAAGAACGGCATAGGGCAATCTATACAGGGATAGCAGCCTCTGAAGTCAACTTCTGCAATAGTCTGTGTCCTCATTGAAATACATCACCACTGTAGGAGGTACCAGGGGTGGGTTTGAATTGTTGGAGGGGTTGAGAACTAAGAGGCTCATTCATACCTGTCTGTTGGGAGTGTCTGAAGGTTGTCCCTTATTGGACCATGGTTTTCAAAGAAGTTGGTGTTGGCGCAAAGCAAAATGTAGCACTCCTGACAGCTGATACATTTAAATATTTGTGGGGGTGGGGAATGAAGTTGTAATGCACAAATTTTTACTTTCATTTATGTTAATAGCTGCACAGATCAAAGGTGCAGGAAAATGACAGATGAACTAGCATTTGAAGTATAGTTCCGCAGACTCTGGAACTTTGCCCTGGCAGAGAAATTAACATTTAACATAAAAGTGGCCAAAGTCAAGGTTAAATCAATGAATTATTATGTTACCATTTTCAGAGTACATCAGCGTGCAGGCAGGCATTAGATATGTCAAATGCATTTCTTAAACTCTGTGATAAACTCAGTTGCCTTACCCAGAAATGAAATATTGGAAACTGGGCAATAATTGGCCATAATGTTCGGGTCCAGCAATTTTTTTTAAGAAGCTGTATAATAACTGCTGCTTTAAGGGTTTCAAGGAAGTATGACAGTATGCCATGCAACAAAAATTTGGGGCCTTTCCAAATCAACTTGTTGATACACCAGAACCAATTCAACACTCCAGTCGATGGAGGTTTTATATTATAAAATGTGAAATAACTTCATCACTTGAGAGTCCATTCCTTTACTGGATTTGAGGTTTTATGCTTCTCTGATATGTTATATCCAAACCTTGCTTACACAATAAATCACTTGAATAGCCTGGGGCTTCTGTAATGGTTGCCTGACTGGGCTGGTTTCTATAAACCACTGATGGTGTAACCTATGACACCCCGCTTCCCATCAAATGACTCCAACTCCCTTCAGTCCCTGCCCACATGGCTAATGTTTAGGGGTGATGGGAGTTGTAGTCCAGCCATATCTGGAGGGCCACTGGTTTCCTTCCCCTGCTATAAACCGTTGCAGCCAGTGTGTGTGTGTGTTGTGCTTTTCTGAACAAGTACACCTTGTGAGGAAGGGGCTCTTGATACAGTGTGTCAACTGAGATCTTCCTCCTGGTCCCTTCTGGTGAGCTGGAAGGCGGGATATAAAAATAAGATAAATGATGAATTAGAGCTGCTTCTCTATCTTTTATGGACTATGTTTTCAGCTTTAACATTCTGTATCTGTGGCCATGAGAACTAGAATCTCTCTCTCTCTCTCTCTTTTTTAAGATGGCATTTCCATTATTCCAGACAGATTATCTAAGTACAAGTGCATTCACTGTATTTTTGTTTAATTATAGTTACAGATAGGTAGCCGTGTTGGTCTGCCATAGTCAAAACAAAAAAAATTCCTTCCAGTAGCACCTTAAAGACCAACTAAGTTAGTTCTTTGTATGAGCTTTCGTGTGCATGCACACTTCTTCACACAGTATCAAGAGCCCCTTCCTGAAGAAGTGTGCATGCACACGAAAGCTCATACCAAGAACTAACTTAGTTGGTCTTTAAGGTGCTACTGGAAGGAATTTTTTTTGTTTTGTTTAATTATAGTTAGGCTTCCATTAAGTGGTTATAGCTTTTCTCATATGTGATACTACTTTCCTTTACACTCAAGTGATTTTAATTCTATTCCCAAATAGTCAAGGAAGGAAAAAGGACAACTAAGTGTGATGTGCAACCTGTTGGCAACATCCCATGGACTGCATTTGAGAAACCTTTTGCCAAGAATCCTGAAATTTATACAGATTGGACATGCTAAGATTTGCAATGTCAGTGCTATTTAAAAGAGACACATTAATCCTGCAGTGTTTTTCTCTTTTGGCTTCCAGACATGCCCTTCATGTAATACTACATTGGCATCTGCTTCTGCTGCAAGTATAGAGGAAGGAGCTATCCAAAATGGGGGCCAGGATGAACATAAAAACAGCACAAAGGTAACACTAATTTATCAGCTTGCATTCTTCTCTAGCTCCCCTGCCCCATTCATGTTGGTAAGTCCAAGATTTGGAAACTCACTTAGGGTAGTCTCAAGAGAAAACTGACTTAACCACTGACGTACAGAATTCCATTCTCAGAACTGATCTGTATACTTCCAGAAGTTGTGCTTGGGTGCTTCAACCTGATGTGGTGTAACACATTAGAGCCAGCAACAAAGTTCCATAACTAGCCTTATCTAGCTTCCTCCAATCCACGTTTGTAGAAGAGTAAAATTTAAAAAAAGAACCAATGCTGGCCCAGGTATCAGATAAAGGGTGGCATAGGAATTTAATAAGTAAATAATAAATTGTAAAATAATGTTTGATCGTGCACTGGTTTTGTGTGGAGCCAGTGTGCCTTAATTGCATAAGAGGCCAAAACATCTTGTACTCAGATCCCAGTGAACATCACTAGCTAGTTTGGGGCAAAAAGTGTACGTTGCACAGTGCTGTGAAAATCTTCGATAGTATTACATAAGTTTTACATAGAGATACATTGAAATTAATGAACATGGCTAAGTTAGGTCCATAAATTTCAGTAGCTCTACGCTGCATAAAATTTAGTTGAATACCATCCCTTCTGTTTCAGACAAGGGACTTTGACTTTCAAAACAGCAAATAATGTGCATAAAAATAATTTGCACTGTAAAAATATCCGGAAATTTTCTTCTGTCTTAAATGTTTGGTTCTGTTTACAAACATGAAAATTGTTGAAAAATGAAAGCTTGTAGGCTTTCTCACTCCAAATTATAAACTGAGCTGAGGCAGCTTTTCTGTCAAAATTTCTTGAGGAACAATAGAATGGCACGATCACTCTGTCTCTTTGTGCTTTTGCCCCTCCTTTGATCTGAATCAGGGCCCTGGAGGATGCAGTCCAAAGTCCCAGAATGGTCTTCTAAGTCCTCCACAAGAGGAGAAGCTGAGCAACAGCCAAACATCCCTTTATGAAATGTTGCAGGAGAAAGGAAGATGGGTTGGCGTGAGCTTGGACCAGTCACCACTCCTGCCACTGCGCTTCAAAAACATCAGGGAGAAAACGGACGCTCACTTTGTTGACGTGATAAAAGAAGACAGGTGAGAAGGATGGATGTGGTGGGGGGGAATCCCAGCTTCACATACACACTGGTGGGGTCTGAACTAGCAGCAACTGAACAGGAAAAGGGGTATTGATCTCGTGGTGGATAGCTCATTGGAAATATGGACCCAGTGCAGTGCATGGTAGCTGTGAAAAAAGCAAAATCCATGTTGGGGATCGTTAGGAAAGGGACTGGAAATTAAACTGCTGATATGTTACTGCTGTCATACAAATCTGCAGTGCAACCACACTCGGAGTGCTGCTTGTCGTTCTTGCCACCTCACCTCAGAAACAATGACTGTAGAGCTGGAAAAGGGTCAGAAAAGGGCCATCGGAGTGATCAAGGGAAAGTTTGCAACATGCGGTGCTTTTTAGTTTACCATTACAGAGGTACATAAGATTATGCATTGTGTAGAGAAACTGGGTAGACTTAAGTTTTCCCCAACCTCCCGTACGAAAACCCAGTAGAGTCAGCACACAGTTAAACTGGGTTTCACTACCACGTGACATTGTGGCAGTCACCTACTTAGCTGACTTTAAAATGGGATGAGGCAAGAAAATGTGCTACCTTTGGGGAAACAGGCTTTGAATACCAGTTGCTGTGAAACAACACTGGGGAGGGGGCCCTCGTGTTCTCCTTTTGGCCCCTGTGGGAAATGGGATGTTGGATTAAATAGCTGTTTGGTCTGATCCACCAGGGTTCTTCACATGTTCTGTTCCGCCACACTATAGATGTTGCCTGGTGTGCTATCACAGTTTTTAAAATAAATACTTTCAGTGTAGGCAAACTGAGTATTTGTGTCCTAAGCAGCGCACTGTTACTAGCGTGTCAAAGGGGCGGAGTTTGGCCATGAGGGATCAAGCCCCAGGCAAAAGCGCTGGTCAGTGTTTGTCTCAGCAGGGGTCTTTGTCGTGCTCTCTCCCTGCTCGTTGAGCTCCGACGCATCTCTGCATCAGACCTGGTTGTGATCAGGGTGGCGTGTGAGGCATGAGTTCGGGAGCAAAGTTGAGTTCTCCCATTCGCGTCTAAATTCATGTTCTGCATTAACTTGCTGGGTTACTCACCTCTCAGCCTTTGTCCTCCATCTGCATGTGTGGATAATAATACTGGGCTACCTTATATGGGTGTTGCAAAGATGGTATGCAACATCTTAATCTCCCAGTAAGTTCTGCCATTTCTGCATACCCCAACAGTTTGTGCAAATTGGGTTTACATTTTGCCGCACAGGCTTGCTCCCCATCTTAGTGTAAATGGAAATTATTATTCTGCCGCTCATCTGACTGGGTTGCCCCAGGCCCTCTGGGCAGCTTCCAACAAATTAAAGCACAATAAGTCTATGCACGAAGGAAGTAACATGCCACCTCATAACTTGCAGGACGTTAGTGCCATCCGTGGTGAGACTTGAATCTGTAAATTGTGCAAGTGATGTGTGCAGTCCTTGGGGACGACATTTCCCATATAGAAGGGGGGTTGTCTCAGAAGTCGAGTTATTTGCAAGACATAGGTGGATCATTCTGCTGTTATGCCTCACCGTAATTGTAGCTCCGCTGGAGGCTGGTAGTCCAACCACCTTCAATGCCAGAATCTCCCTCAGCCAGTCCCTCCCTGCCTGCTTTCTTACTTCACAGTCCAGCAGGTAGCACACACTGTCAGCTTCTTCTTCTTCTTCCTCCTCCTCCTCCTCCTCCTCCTCTGTCTCAGTGTTGCTGTTACACAATCCAGTAGGGGGGAGGATAGGGACAAAATTAGAATTGGCTCTGTCTACCTGCTGGAAATATTCTGAGCACTGCCTTCCTTCCTTGTGGGGACACAGATACTGAATAGTGAGAGACTGAGAGCGGTTGCTCAACCAAGAAGTAACTTGGAAATGGGACATTAGGAATTGTTTCTTCAAATGATAACTGTGCAGAAGTAAACTCTTTTCCATTCTTCCTCTAGCTTGATGAAAGACTATTTTTTTAAGCCACCCATTAACAGACTGAGCCTGAACTTCCTGGATCAGGAATTGGAGATGAACTATAGGAGCAGCTATCAAGAAGAGGTGTGTTTGTGTGTGTTGTGTATTGTGTATGTTCTGGTTGTCTCTGAGAAGCAAACTAATGAAGTGCTAATTTTTCATTTTTCACTGAAAAGTAGTCCTGGAGTGTTGCGTTTTGTGGAGGGGGGCGGTGCTTTATCCTTGTCCTCTGCTCTTAATCTCACCCAGCCCGGTTGCTTTTCTCCCAGGGTTCTGAATTCATACTTCTGAACATACATTTGGAGCTTTGTAGGAGGGGAGAGAGATGCTTTAACTCCTTCATGTCTGTGGCTTTTATGAGTTGTTTTGGAGGTTGTGATAGTTTGTACTCGGTTCCTTTTTGGGCAGTTACTGAACTTGATGCCAGGATGGTTTAAGGATAGAGAACCATACGCTGTTGCAGGAACCATAGAATTGTAGAGTTGTAACGGATCCCAAGGGTCCTTTGGCCACCCCTCTGCAATGCAAGAATCTCAACTAAAGAATCCATGACAGATGGCCATCCAACCTCTGCTTAAAAACCTCCGGTGAGTCCAAGGGAATCCATTCCACCGCTGAACAGCTCTTTACTGTCAGAAAGTTCTTCCTGATGTTGAGTCGGAATCTCCTTTCTTGTAACTTGAAGCCATGGGTTCGAGTCCTACCCTGGAGCAGGAGAAAATGAGCCTGCTCCATCTTTCGTGTGACACACCTGAACATCCTTTATTTAGGCAAAAGATAGGACAAAGGTCCATCATACTGTAAAGGTTCTCTGTCCTTAAACCATCCTGAACATGCACTGCTACCCTGGGGGAGTTTCTCAACATTCATGGGAGCTTTGCCTCTTAAATTGTTTGTAAGGTACAGTGGTGCCCCGCAAGACGAAAAACCCGCAAGACGAAAGGGTTTTCCGTCGCGGAGGCGCTTCGCAAGACGAAGTTCCCTATGGGCTTGCTTCGCAAGACGAAAACGTCTTGCGAGTCTCGCCATTCTCCCCCCCCCCGCTCCCCCCCCTTTTCAAAGCGGCTAAGCTGTTAATAGCCTTTTAACAGCTTAGCCGCTAAGCCGCTAATAGCGCTAAATCGCTAATAGCGCTAATCCGCTTAGCCGCCAATGGGGTTGCTTCGCAAGACGAAAAAACCGCTAGAAGAAAAGAATCGCGGAACGGATTCTTTTCGTCTTGCGAGGCACCACTGTAGTTCCTAATATCCAGTCTAAATTTGCGTTGCTGAAATCCCTCGTGTTTTGTTACACTATTGCCGGTTCTGGTGAATAGTCCCTTCACAGGGCCTTTTGAAGACCCCAAAGCTGCAGCTGCCCCCTGCATTCAGCACTGCAATAAGTTGCTGTTGAGAGTGTGGGATATAAGATACTGTCCGAAGGCAACTTAGCAGCTGGACTGAGTGGCCTCCCGGAAGGAGAGCTCCTAGCAATGCAGTCAGAGCTGAGGAATGCACACAGCTGAAGAATAAAAGGCAGCTGGCTGCATTTCCCAAGCTGAGAACAAGAAAGCAGGTAAGGGTGACAGTTTTGGGCAAAGGGGAGCCTAGAGGATGGAGTGTGGAGGTGCAGTAAGAGGATGGGAGGAAAGGAAGGAAGGAAAGCAAGAAGGTTGAGGACAGGGACAGAGGGGGAAGCTGCTGGGAAGCTTCACTCCAGAGCGGGAGGAACAGAAATAGTACGCTTTATTTCCTTGGGTTAAAAAATATCCTTTGTACCCTGTTATACTGAAGGAAGGCCAAAGGAGGGTAAAAAAGAGAAATTTTTAACCCAAGGAAATAAAGCATACAAATGGACAGAATCAGTGATGAGTTATTTATATGTAAAAAAAATTGTACTGTTTGTTTTATATCCGTGTTTTTAAAAAAATATTATATTTCTCTTTGTAAATAGCTTGGAGGTCTTCAGTTGAACAGGTGGTATATACATTTTATTAAATAATGTAACCCCTTCCTTCTGTCTCCCACCCCCAAAAGCTCTGTCTGTGCCATCGTATTTGACAGAAACGCCCACACTGGATTTGATTCTCCTTAAAAGACAACAAGAAAGAAAGAAAGAAAGAAAGAAAGAAAGAAAGAAAGAAGAAGAAGAGGGCAGCCACATATTGGTGCACTGTCTCATTCTGTTCTTTTTGCCTTTATCTGAAACAGGTTATGAGGAACACCCCCGTGAAGACCTTCGCCAGCGCTACCTTTAGTTCACTTCTGGATGTTTTGCTGTCCACAACAGTCTTCCTCATCCTCTCTGTCACCTGCTTCCTGAAGCATGGGATGGCTGCAACTCCTCCCCCGCCTGCAGCAGTGGTGGTGGTGGTCATTGCCATCCTGCTAGAGGTGCTGTCCCTTATCGTCTCCATTAGGTAAATGAGGCAGACTCTGGATCACTCTCACAGGGCGCGTAGGATAGCAGCAGAGGCAGGGCCTGCTTCTTGGATTTGAAATGGGAATAGCTAAGAATGGGATAGAGAGTTCTGTGAGGGCCTTCGTAGCTCTGTTGTATGGAAAACAGACTCCTCCTTTCACCACTTAGAGGTGAGCCAGGACTCTCAGATTTGTGCTAGTGGTCCACCCTAGGCCAGGCAAAACCCACCAGTCACTTTGGACATAATTAAACGTGTAAGGCACCCTAAAGGTGAGAACATGACAGGGAAGGGAAGAGAGCAGGATCCAGCAAAATGGCAGGGCTGCCGCTGCTAGTCTGATGAAGAGAGGGAATCAGGCATGCCAGTTCCTTGCTCAGAGGCCGGCTCTGAGTGAAGGGGCTCGAGGACTGCAGCTATACAGAGAGACTTGCAAAACCATTCCCCTCCGCTTCTTTGCCCTTCTAGGCTCAGTTCTGTCATAGACAGAAGCGGCTACACTGGCTGACTTGGATGTGTGTTGTTTTCAGAATGGTGTTCTTTCTGGAGGACGTAATGGCTTGCACAAAACGGTTGTTGGAGGGGATTGCCGGCTGGCTGCCGCGACACTTCATTGGTGCCGTTTGGATCTCCCTCCCCGCTGTCGCAGTCTTCTCACACTTCAGCTTGGAATTTGAAACAAACATTTATGTAAGTCATACATTGCTGAATCCCATAAATGGACTGGTTTTTCTGTGCTCCTGCTATATCCTGGGAGGAGGCAGGTAGAGGATCGAGACTGAGAACCAGAAGTTGGCTCTCTCGCTTTCTTTCTTTTTTTCAAAATTCAGTTACCAGAAACGTTGGTGGGTAGATCTTCCCTGGGTGCCCAAAAGTGTGCAGGTTGCTTTCTTCTGCTGAGGGAGATGGGAAAGGAAGTGCCTAGCAGGCTAGGGCCCGCCAGTTCCAGTGAGCTGGCTATGGGCTGCTTCATTCTTCAAAGGAGAGCACTGGAGAGGCTGGCTGCATGTGAAGCCAACATACGTTAAATGGAGTGCCAGATTTACATGTAAGCTAAACAAGCTATAGCTTAGGGCCCCACTCTCTTGGGCCCCCCCAAAAAAAATTAACGGAAAAAACCCCTGGATGTACATTTCCGGAATATAAGATTAAAAAAAACAAATAAAATAAAACCTACACATAGCAACAGTGTAGGTCCATAAATATAGCATATATTAAACACAATAAACAGCAACAATTTGATGTTGACAAAGGACAGCTGGACATATAAAGGGCCCCATTACCTTCAGTAGCTTAGGGCCTCATCAAACCTAAATCCGGCCCTGAGGGGAGGCATAATGACTAGTGAAATTTTGGTTTCGCGACCACAGCCATTAAAAAAAGAAAAAAAGTGGATTCCTGTGCATTTACTTCGACATCCTATTCCAATAGATCATATATGACTAATAGCTGCTGTTTCTGTTTGTTGCAGTATACCATGTTTATGTGTTCTGCAATTCTCATCACTATTGTCCAGTACTGTAACTTCTGCCAGCTCAGCTCCTGGATGAGATCATCTCTGGCCACTCTGGTTGGAGGAGTCTTGCTAGTTTTGCTGTGGGTGCCTCTGTGCCCTGACAGGTGAGCCTTTGAGGAGACGTGGTGCTGCCTGCCTGTTGCCTGTGAGTTGGGACGGTGTCTTTTCCCCAGTGAGGGTCTTGGAGGGCATCATCAGGAAGCTGGAGTGAAATAGGTGTTCTATCTCTCTCTTCCACCTGCAAGCAGATTCACCAGGTGTCTTTGTTGATTGGAAGTGCCGCCACTTTAGCCATCAGGTGTATACTTTGACGTTTTGTGAAGTAATGTGGTTAACCTCTGGGGGAAAGGAGGATTGAGGCTGGTGTATAACTCCGTGTCAGAATGGGTATCCAGCAGCCCAGAATGAGATTTGGAGAGTGGCGGCCAGGAGGGGTGTTTCGTTTTTCTCTTTTTGAGGGGTGTTTTTTGCAACTGTTTCTTTTTTCCCCCTCCTCCATGCTTTTGATTTGTTGTCTGTCTCTTGCATTTTTGTTTCAGCTCTGTGGAGGAATCATATATTGAATCAGTAAAGAACTTTAGGTAAGCGTTCATTGGATTTCCTTTCGTTTCTGGCTATTACTGAGCCTGGCAGCCTTTTCCCTAAGTCTTTATATCAACCAGCAGCATTTTTAGACCTTAAACAATTGCTTTCTCCTTCTCGCCCACCCCCAGCTTATATTCACAAGGCTTTGAGAAGCTCTGGAACTCTGTATCTGAAGTCATCGTGCTTCACTGCATGATAGCCATCAGGTGGATGTCTATGCCTTTTCCTTTTTGGTTTGAGCTTGGATTTGAGGTTCCTTGCGTCCTGCCCATTATTGTTTGGTGTAAGCAAAATGGAAACGGCCAAGTGGAGGATAATCATCTCCAGTTTTTACTTAGATCATTTGTAAGGTGACCAGTTCGTATTTCGGGTCAGCGGGTGCTTGGAGCCTCCAGCCTGAGATTGCCCTATCACTGTCCTAATCCACAGGCCCAAAAGAGAGCCTGTGCGAGTGGTTTGATGTAGGGATACCAAAAAAAGAATGTAAAAAATGCCAGAACGGCCAATTCTAGTGCATTTTTAGAATTCACTAGCCTGCAGCACAGCCTGCAGAGCCTTTATGCCAGGCATAGGGAAACTCGTCCCTCCAGATGTTTTTCAGACTACAGTTCCCATCATCCCTGACCACTGGTCCTGTTAGCTAGGGGTGATGGGAGTTGTAGTCCCAAAACATCTGGAGGCCCGAGTTTGCCTATGCCTGCTTTATGCCATTACAGACTCCAAAACAGGAAGCGCTCATCATGACTTGGGTGCACTCTGGAAAACATTTATGCATCACTTACACAAAGCACAGCATATGTCAGTTTGGCCAGAACCTCCCACTGATGAAGGCATGGGCGGCAGGCCCTCCAGTCTTAGAATCATAGAATCATAGAGTTGGAATAGACCACAAGGGCCATCGAGTCCAACCCCCTGCCAAGCAGGAAACACCATCAGAGCACTCCTGACATATGGTTGTCAAGCCTCTGCTTAAAGACCTCCAAAGAAGGAGACTCCACCACACTCCTTGGCAGCAAATTCCACTGTCGAACAGCTCTTACTGTCAGGAAGTTCTTCCTAATGTTTAGGTGGAATCTTCTTTCTTGTAGTTTGGATCCATTGCTCCGTGTCCGCTTCTCTGGAGCAGCAGAAAACAACCTTTCTCCCTCCTCTATATGACATCCTTTTATATATTTGAACATGGCTATCATATCACCCCTTAACCTCCTCTTCTCCAGGCTAAACATGCCCAGCTCCCTTAGCCGTTCCTCATAAGGCATCGTTTCCAGGCCTTTGACCATTTTGGTTGCCCTCCTCTGGACACGTTCCAGTTTGTCAGTGTCCTCCTTGAACTGTGGTGCCCAGAACTGGACACAGTACTCCAGGTGAGGTCTGATCAGAGCAGAATACAGTGGCACTATTACTTCCCTTGATCTAGATGCTATACTCCTATTGATGCAGCCCAGAATTGCATTGGCTTTTTTAGCTGCCGCGTCACACTGTTGGCTCATGTCAAGTTTGTGGTCAACCAAGACTCCTAGATCCTTTTCACATGTACTGCTCTCAAGCCAGGTGTCCCCCATCTTGTATTTGTGCCTCTCATTTTTTTTGCCCAAGTGCAATACTTTACATTTCTCCCTGTTAAAGTTCATCTTGTTTGTTTTGGCCCAGTTCTCTAATCTGTCAAGGTCGTTTTGAAGTGTGAACCTGTCCTCTGGGGTGCTAGCCACCCCTCCCAGTTTGGTGTCATCTGCAAATTTGATCAGGATGCCCTTGAGTCCATCATCCAAGTCGTTGATAAAGATGTTGAATAAGACCGGGCCCAAGACAGAACCCTGTGGCACCCCACTAGTCACTCTTCTCCAGGATGAAGAGGAACCATTGATGAGCACCCTTTGGGTTCGGTCAGTCAGCCAGTTACAAATCCACTGAGTGGTAGCATAGTCAAGTCCGCATTTTACCAGCTTCTTTACAAGAATATCATGGGGCACCTTGCCGAATGCCTTGCTGAAATCAAGGTAGGCTACATCCACTGCGTTCCCTTCATCTACCAGGCTTGTAATTCTGTCAGAAAACGAGATCAGGTTAGTCTGACATGACTTATTTTTCAGAAATCCATGTCTTACAGATAGCTCCCCTCCCTAGGCCAATAACTGAACGTCTCAAGCCCCAGATAAGCATAACGTCAAAGCAAGCCAAGTACTGTAGCATAAACGTAATGTGAGCTGATTCTGGCAGCGACTGCCAATTCGTCCTGAATTTATCTTGGCTACCAAGGTGGTGTTTACAGGCCTTCCCGAACATTTCCCCCGTTTGGTTCTACACAACCACCATCCTCATAAAACATGCACTATGCAGGTGTTAAAATGGCCTTTTCATGTGAGTTGAACTAAACACATTAATGACCATCTTGTAGACCTGGCTATCCAACACAGACTAAGAAGCTGTAACATGTGAACCTTGGAGACAGCAGACATACATGAGGCTCATTGCCCATTTCTGAAGAAATGCTTGGTGCAATAACTGATGCATCAGGGCAGAGTCACATTTTGTCAAGCAGCAGTTTTGCTGCAGTGGGAATAGTGGCCTGTGAATTTTCTTGCTGATCTAGTGCTTCTTGCATTTCAGTTTCAGCTCCATGGAAATCTTCAACTCTACACAGAACATCAGGTAATCATTAACATCTAGCAGTCTTCCTTGCACTTTCTGCTTTCTCCTCAAAGGCTTAAATGAAGTGCTATAACAATTTTTTTTAAAAAAAGAAAGCTTTAAAAGAACTGTTATTTAAAACTATTACGGTGGTACCTTGGTTCTCAAACTTAATCCGTTCTGGAAGTCTGCTCCAAAACCAAAGCATCCCTGCACTGATGATAATCATTGTTTGGATGGGGTTTTTTTATCCATTTCCACAGTCACACAATCAATCAGTAGCTGAACTGGTTTCCATACAGTCATAAAAACAAATTAACCAAAAAAGCCTCAAAGACAAAAAATGTAAAATAAATAGCAAAAACAAAAGCGCCAAACTTAATCCATTCCGGAAGTCCATTTAACTTCCAAAATGTTCAGAAACCAAGGCACAGCTTCTGATTGGTGCAGGTGCCCCGGGAACAGTAGCCGACAGCCGCATCAGACGTTCGGCTTCTGAAAAATGTTCGAAAACCAGAACACTTACTTCCGGGTTTTCAGCATTTGAGAACCAAGGTACCACTGTATGCTATAAAACCTTGCTTGTGTATTGATTAGAAACACTAAAAAGGTCAACTGTACACTGAACTCCATGTCCAAAGAGTTAGACATCAGCAGCCTGCTTCAGAATTTAGCTCAGGAACAACCAAATTGACTGTAAAAAAAATGCCAAATAAACTAGAGAAATATAACAGTTGCCTGGATTTAAAAAAAGAAAAAATGCAGTGTGTGCCTACATTGGTGCTAGTATATGTGGTGTCACAGAAGCGAAAGTGAGGAGAAGAAACGCTCACCATGTGTCTGTACCCTAAATAATGGCAAGAACAGAAGTAGCTGTTTTCAGACTTAAGCAAATGGTTTTTCATTTAAGGGCTTGATCAACATCAAACTTCATTATTTTCATCACTTCATGGTGAATGTCTGAAGCCACCAAGCTATATATAGGTAAAACTCCAGTGGAATCCCAGGGACTAAGAAATGGAAATTCTAAATGTAGATTAAGCTCACTAAATCCTGCAATTATTACCTCTCCTTTTCATTTCTGTTGATGTTTTGCTATATTTGGATTTCAGCTCCACAGAAATCTCCCATCTTCAGTTAGAACAGAACTATAGGTAAGAATTGATACCTAGTTCCCAGTTTTTTGTGTTTTTCCTTTGCTTGATCATTCATATTTCTGAAATGTAGAGAGAGGTACTAATGTAGATTAGTCAGTCATAGACATATTATCTGCAGATAACTGTGACAGATGATGGTTAAACAGACTCTCACATGAAAACTTGGGATGAGTCTTGAATAAGTCAGACAGAATACTTTATTTGACATCTGAGGACCAAACTGGACATGATGTGATTTACCCAAGTAGTAACTAATTGTGACGCTATCCGTGTATGTGTGTGAGAGGGGGGGGGGGGGGCGGCGGAGGTGGTAGGGAGAGGGAAAGTAAATAGCAATTGGAGAAAATCTGGATTAGAACAAAACTGGTACATCATGACATAAGTGGTGAACCTGCAAATGAATTTTGGGATTTTTAGAGGGTTCAGAAAATTGTGAAACATGATACATTATCAGGACCCAATTGGCCCTCTTAAATCTGTATACAGTGGTACCTCAGTTTTTGAACGTCTCCGTTGACGGAAGTTTCAGTTTTCGAACGCCGTAAACCCAGAAGTAAATGCTTCGTTTTTGAACTCGCCTTGGAAGTCAAACATGAAACGCGGCTTCCGTATTGAGTTTTCCATTTTGAGGCTTCTGTATTGAGTTTTCTGTTTCGGAACTCGAATGGTCTTCCAGAATGGATTACGTTCGAAAACTGAGGTACCACTGTACCAGCTAAAATAAATATTTGAAGAATAAGGATTTGATTGTTTGCCTTTTGATGGCAGCACAGAATTTTATTTGGCTTGCTCATTTTGTGTTTTATTTGCATATATTTAGTTAAATGTTTTGTATGTATACATTGGCCTCATATCTGAGTGATAAAACTTCAAAAGAGTTTTAGGTTTTATTCAACTACGTTTTACTTGGAGTATACCCACTGAAATGAATAAAACATTTTTGAAAAAGAAACCAGGCAGTGTGTATGTGTGTGTGGTCTGGGTCTTTGCTCACCACAGCAGCCCTGATCTGAATCTCCACTCCCCCCACTCCAAAAAAGAGAGAGTCCCATTGTGTGAATGACACAATGTCTAGTTTGGTCCTGCGCATATGAAGTTGTCATAATTGTCTCTGTTGCCATGGGGGACTAGAAAATCGTATTTTAAAATAGAATAACGTTTTAAAATAGAGTAACGTTGTGTGCTTGTGATTAAAATATAGGAATATAAGAACAGAGAAAACATGCTTTTTTCTTTTCTTTTTTACATTTACTCTGTGTATGTGCGTGTGTCTATATTTTCTTTAAAAAATTAACTCCAGTTCCATAAGGAATCCATGCTACCGATCAACCTTGGAAGACTTCAGGAGGCCAGCAGACCTTATTGGCCATGAAGTGATTCTGGGCTTCTTCCTTCTCCTCCTCCTGGTTTGGTTCTTAAACCGTGAGTTTGAAGTGAGCTACCGCCTGCATTACCATGGAGACGTGGAAGCCGACCTTCACCGCACCAAGATCCAGAGCATGAGGGACCAGGCGGACTGGCTGCTGCGGAATATCATTCCGTACCACGTGGCGGAGCAGCTGAAAGTCTCACAGAGCTACTCCAAAAACCATGACAGTGGTGGCGTGATCTTTGCCAGCATCGTGAACTTCAGTGAGTTCTACGAGGAGAACTACGAAGGAGGCAAGGAGTGCTACCGAGTCCTGAACGAACTGATCGGGGACTTTGACGAGCTGCTGAGCAAGCCTGACTACAGCAACATCGAGAAGATCAAAACCATCGGGGCCACGTATATGGCCGCCTCTGGCCTGAACACATCCCAGTGCCAAGACAGCAACAGCCCGCACGGCCACTTGCAAACCCTCTTCGAATTTGCCAAAGAAATGATGCGAGTGGTTGATGACTTTAACAACAACATGCTGTGGTTCAATTTCAAACTGCGGATTGGCTTCAACCACGGCCCCTTGACTGCCGGGGTCATTGGCACCACCAAGCTCCTGTATGACATTTGGGGTGACACTGTGAACATCGCCAGCAGGATGGACACGACCGGAGTGGAGTGTCGCATCCAGGTGAGCGAAGAGAGCTACCGCATCCTGAACAAAATGGGGTATGACTTTGATTACAGGGGGACGGTGAACGTGAAGGGCAAAGGGCAGATGAAGACCTTCCTGTACCCCAAGTGCATGGACAACGGCATCGTCCCCCACCACCAGTTATCTATATCTCCAGACATCCGTGTTCAAGTGGATGGCAGCATTGGGCGGTCTCCGACGGACGAGATCACCAACCTGGTGCCTTCTGTACAGAATTTGGACAAGATGCCCCACGTCTCGGACCATAATTTGGAGCTCAAGGGCGGGCTCCCCTGTTTCAAGAACCTCCCAAAAGAGACAGTGAAGCCAGAGGATGGGCGTAGGTTTGGTAAGTCTGTTGAGAAAAACGACTGCAAAGAAGCAGAGACCAGTGAGCTGACTAAGCTGAATAACTCGCGGAGCGTATGATGGGCTGGAGTGGTCTGCTGTGTCTACAAGAGCGCAGGTGCTCTCGGTGGGCTGTGTTCTCCTGGAGGAGGGGCAGGAGAGGGAGTGGCTGGACGGCTCTGGCATCTGACTTCACTTTGGCAACGGGATCCGAGGGGGTCGCTGGTGTGCCAGGGCTTTTGTGCCTCTCTCACCCCCCAGGTCCCCTTGGAACAGCCTTTCAGCTGAGATGAGACATCAAGTGCCTTCAGATAGACTCTGCTGGACTCCTTCTCTAGGAACAGAGGCACAAAGTTGACCATATGTTTGATGGATAAGCCGTGGTTATATCATTTTTATTGTTTCTCACTGGCACTACTATTTTGTTTTTGTTTTGCCTATTATGTTAAGCCTTTTGTATGTAAACACAGACAAATGCATGGTTACCTTACTGACACAAACAGCCACTAAGGGAAGATGATGTGAGGCGAGAGAGGAGTTGGCAGAGTTGCCCCCTGGGCAGCTGGAGGAGGAGGAGGAGGAGCAGGGAGCTTGCCTTGGCAGTCCAGCACTTACCTGAAGTGATCTGTGGGCTGCTCTGTTTGCCATAATCAGACTCAAGTGCCCTTGTGTGTTCTGGGACGTGTGGCCTCTTGCCATTCACCCCCCAGGCCTCTGCCGTGTGGGGAGTGGCGCTGGCTGCACAGTGCTCCAATGGCAGAAGCGTGGCCAATCTCAGCCTCAGGTGTTTCGCTTCTGACCTCTGCCAGGAGGGACTTCTGAGCATTTGGGTGAAACTGTTTTCTCTAAATCTGGTCAGGCCTAAGAGAAAGATAATAAATGATAGGGGATTTTCTCCCTTCCTTTTTATTCCTCCCTTCCCCCTTAATTCTGTATTTGTGGGGACGGTAGGGATTGGAAGCAGTGGTGCCATTGTAAGGCAGGTGCCCATTAAGCGTGTCTGCGTACTCAGTCCAGCCTTTCTTTAGGCACAGTTGGTGCCAACAGCACTCAAGCTGTCGGACGTGGCTGACTTAGCAGGTTTGGGGCACATATTTCACCCTTATTGTGTTTGCCCTTTGTGGGAGTTGGAATGAGAAGTCTGTTCAGAGCTGAAAAGCACAAGAGTAGGGAGATCATAAGCCTTCGGTGCTTTATTGTGTGGATTCAGTCAGAATGAACTCCCTTTGACAATCTTTTCTTTTGCATTTTCACTCCTGTTGTATTACTGAATGAAGAGTCAAACGTGTTTGACTCTTAATGCAGCCAAATTTTCTGATTCACCTAAAGGTGATGTAGCCAAGCATAAATCTGCCCCACAAATACACATGCAGAATAAAGTAGGGGCTGTTCTACGTTTTTGCAAGTTTAGAAGACGTGAAAAGGGTTAAAGTACTTTAGGGTTAGAAAGTTTGTTGTTTCATAGAATACTTCCTCTTGCACTTTCTTATCCTGCAACCTAAATTGGTCCAAGAAACTGACCATTCTCATCAGCTGGTCGCTTCTGTTATTTTGTTGACATGCTAATCTTCTTTAAAACTAAAGCCAGACTCTCTCTCTTTTGGCTCAGTTGTTAAGAGCATCCCTGGAATTTATGATCATAAAGGGGCTTTTGCTTGATAGCACATAGAATACCTTTTCTGTGGGCCACTCTCTCTCCTGTGTGTCTCACATTCCGACACCCACACTGAGCATCATTGTAATACGTGCATCTTTCGGTAAAAGCCTTTGGGGCTGAACCAACACAGGGGTAGTGAATTTCCAGTGCAGGCTGGTTCTAGGAGGACAATGCTGAACGGTTCTCAAAATGTAGTTAAAAGCAATCTTATTTTCTTCAGCCCCAAGTACTGTACAGTACTAGCCTCCACTGTGGCTGCTAATCCTAAGCGCATTTACTAGGGAGTAACTCCAGCGTATGCAGTGGACTTAATTGTGAATAAAATGTGTAGGAGGAGGCTGTTCCCTGAGTTGGGCTTTCCAGAAGATTAGTATCGTTTTGTAAACTTCTCTTGCCTCAGTCAAATCAAAGAGACTTTCGAAGGTAATCGCCAGGATTCTAGCTTCTGGTTTCTCGACTGAACTGCTGTTTTCCCCACGGCTGAGCTGATTTAGTCCCAAGGTGTTTCCAGGCCATCTGCAGCATGCAGAACAGAGCTGGGGTTCAACAAGAGCTAAAAGTCAGAAGAGGGAAGTTTAAGGACACTGATAATAGCCAGCAAGGATGATGGCTTGTGGCGGATCTGGTCCTGTGAGCATGAGAAGCTTTGGGGCCAGCTGTCTTAATGTGTGACCTGCTTCTCTCAGTTGTGAGAATTATTGGAAACTTGCAGATTTCTAGCCACAAGGAATTTGGCTATTTACTTTTGTAAAAAGACTGCAATTACCCCATCTTGGGGAAATGTTCCTAAGACCAGCTCTTTGCAGTGTAAAAAACGCTCAAATGGTTGAAGTCTTTTATTTCATTTCTCAAATTTGTGTAGGTGCTTCAGGCCCTTGGCAAATGTATCTTGCTCTCTGCCAGGCAGGTGATGCCTTTAGTCATAGGGGTTGGCTTGCTCTTTCTCTGGCCGGGCACATGGAAGGTATGTTCAGCTTGAATTTTAAGGGCTCTGATTGGTGTCTGCTTCATCCTGGATGCTGAAATAGCAGCGTCTCAGCTGCTCTTTGTGTGAATTCATGGGCTGCTCTCAACAACAGGGTTTCCTGCAGTGGGACGTTGCCTGCAAAGCACCTTGCATATCGTTGCTTTTTCACATACCTCCCCAAAAGCATTTTATTTGCCAGGCAAAATACGCAGAGGTAGTAGGGAGCTCTTCTGCTGCTTGCCTGTGGAACGGTCTCCGAAGGCTTGTTGCCTGTACTTTAGGCCTTGGTGGATGCAGGGGTGGGGAACCTGAAGGAGCCCTTCAGATGTTGCTAGGCTCCAATTCCCGTCACCCCTGCGCATCGGCCAGGCTCGTTGCTGGGGCGGATGGGAATCCCAGCAGCAGCTGGAGGGCCACCGGTTCTTCACACCATGCCTAAAATTATAGCAATAAAACTGGAGCGCTACGTTGGTAGCAATAATGCAAGATGATTTACCTAGCGGTAAATACACAGGCCTGGTGAGGGAGCAAGTAGTGGCCTGCAAAGGAGGCAGTTGTTCCTTTGAAGATCGGGCTGGACATGAGCCAGGGATGTCATTTTGGGTTTTTTCAGCAGAAGCCTTATTTCCAGGGCTCTGGAACTAATGATGCTAATTGACTTGGCACTAAAAGGACCTTGCTCACACCACAAACAGATATTTTAGCTAGAGTTGGGCTGGGAAGTCGGGTGGCAGAAGGAAATATCGGAGGGCGAAGGCAGGGGGAGGCGAGGTTTGCAGAAGCCTAGGTCTTCTGCTGCCAACTCCTTGGCAACAAAGTTTTGGGATGCACAAGGAAGTGCTCCAAAGAGAGCAAGTTCTGTTCTCCTGCTGTGCTCCAAGGTCTCTGAAAGCAGTAAATGAGGCTTTTTATTCAACCTCACTCATTGAGGGCCTGCTTCAGTCCTACAGAAATCAATGAGACAAAGCACCTTTTAAGGACTAAATAACTACTTAATTATTTAGAACTTACTTTCCGCTGACTACAGTATATAAATAGAAACAATGCACTTGGCTTCTTCTCCAAAGGCTCTTTTAACTTGTCACTGGAGGCTTGTTGCCATTTGGCTTCCTAGCAGAGCCACATGATGAGATGGCTGGCTTCCCTTTTTCTTCCACAGGAGCTGGAGGGGTATCTCTGAGGGCTGGGTGTGCAAGGTGGAGGAAAGGGCGCCTGTGTGACTTTGGCCGCTCTTGGGAGCCCCACCCTCTCCTTGCCCCTCCTGTGAGCTGAAAGGCAGTGGCCACCAGCCCCTCCTCCTCCATCTGCCCCACATAGAGGCAGCATTCTGGGCACTTATTCCCACTCAGGTCCAGTGGGTAGGAGGAGGAGCTCTTGGTGTCCTGCTGAGAGTGTCCCACAGAGCTCTTTACTGCCTCTTCTCCGTTCTCTCCTCCCCCCACCCCACGCTCCTCATGCCTATACCTGCAATATGCCCCGTCCCCCCACTTACCTGGGGAGAAGCATCATAAAGCATTTCTTCTAGGCACTTCCTGGGTCTCCGAGGCATTAGCTTCTCCTCTTAGAAATGAGCCTAAGGCGTGTAAATACTGGTTGGTTTATGCACCGCAGCTGCACTCCTGCCTTCCTCTCTCTGACTTCAGCCGTTCTCCCGCCTGGCCAGGCCAGCATCCTGCTTCTGCAGTAGCCATAGCCAAACAAACAAGACTTCCTGGAAATATAGCAGCAATGTAAACCAAGGGCTCCAAAGCATCCCTTTGGGGCAGCAGCTTTAAGGTTGTTGCCTCAACGTCACGAGGACAAACAGAAGTAATAAAAAGCCCAAAGCCTTAACGAGATGGGGGAGGGGAACTCCACCTAAACAAGCAGAGTGGCAGGCCTGTGGCGTTGTCTCCACGGGACGACTCCCTCTGCCTCTGTCCAGGGTCCCCGTTCCTTTAGGTGCTGAAGGCTTTGGTCCCGTTCTAGGGCCACGGAGGCTGCATGCTCCCCTCTTCCCACCCTCCGGTTGCTGCCATGGAGAGGGAGCCTGGCTCTTCACTTCTCAGGACCTGATGATTTAAAGCCAACTCCTTATTTTGATGGCAATACCCTTCAGAAACTCTTAACTGGCCTGGGCTTTGCATACTTGCGAAGAGCCGCTGGAAAGAATCGGTCAGTAGGACAGGGCAAGTCCTGGGCCTGGGTCAGGTGCCGACTGAGCGGGAAATGCTGGAAGCAGCTTTGCGGGTCCAGGGCCACCTCTGACTCTATCTTCCTGGCTGACGCAAAGCAACCCTTTTGTTTCTTTAGCCCTCGGTGGGGAGGCTGGAGAGAGAGGCCTTCTGTCGGGCTGGTCCTTTGGAGCCTGACTTTCCCTTCTCAGAAAGCTCCTCCTGGTGGAGAACGAGAGTCCTCTGCAAACCATCCAAGACGGTTCACACTGGTGTTCTTCACCAGCAGTATTTACAGGGTTGTTTTAGACATGTACGGTTGTATTTTAATGTGTATTTATATTTTTATTTGGTTTTGAGATAATGCTGTTACTGGCCCTGAGGCTTTGTGTTGAATAAACTACTAGTTACTGGGGCGGGGGGGAGAAGGGTGCCAGCCTTTAGGCAGCCTATGCAACACTATTTCAGTATTTGATATGCACAAACGAGCCTCCCCTATTTTTCATCATTTTAGCCTGGTGTGCTGAGAAACTTGGGAGAGGCAAAAGATGAAAGCAACTTGAAACTCCTTTCATTTTGTGGAAAAAAACACACACCACAGTATTGTCCTTCAGGTGCCTATCAGCTCCTGGTCTGCCTTGAAGAAGGGCTTTCCTGGAATATTGCCTCCACGCAGTATTGGTGTCAATGGGGAAATGCCCCAAATTCTGTACTTGCGGGCGCAGGTGTGAGCAGAAAACCATCCAGCTTTCTCCTCCTTTTTCTGCGTCCACTACTCTGGTTGACATTGTCTTGCCCTCCCTGCGGAAAGGAAGAGCAGGCCCCTCCCCACACCAGGCGAGGAGGAGGAGGAGGCAGTGGCTTCACAGAGTTTCGCTTGCTGGGAGTGCCAAAGGCCGTCCTTCACTACAGTAGCTTAACTGTAAATAGCCTGCATACGTCTGGCTCTAAAGACACACACAAACACACACAAAAGTATGTGTGAAATACTATATGTATATAGAAGGTAAATATACACATTCACTTTGACTTGTTACTGCAGATCTGTAATCAATTGTATATTAAACGGTTTTCCTGTACTGGAGATTCCTTTGCACCATCTTAAATGTGGGAGATCTGGAGAAGCGATTCTCGCGATTCACGTGCCACTTTGTGGAAATGTTCATTCTTCCGAGGGATAAGTGGGCTGAATTTACCTGCATGCGTTTCCCAAGAGCTTGTGATCACTGGGCACTGCCCTCGCGACAGACTCATAGGATGGTATGTATCTGTCTACTCAAGGTAGCAAAATGGTTTGGGAGCAAGTCATATATATAATGGAGAAGTTGGAATAATAATTTTTCACTCAGTTGCCCTAACCTTGCCTGCTCTGCTTGGGCACTGTGAATGTATCTTGTAGCCAATTTCAGCTTCTGAAGGTGTTCCCCTTAGAATTGCACAATGCTGCTACTTGTGTAAATGCAGGCACACTTTTCACAGTAACACAAACATGTGGACTTTCCCACCATTTCAAAGAGGAGCAGTTCTGGACAGTTCTATTCCATTTTTCTTTTCTGGGGAGGGTGGTGATGTCGTCATTCAAGATTGCTAAATAATCTTCCAGTTTCAACCCTTCGCCTGCACTGCTCAGCTGTTACAAACTTCTGAAAGCTAAAGGGTACCTGGGAAAGAACAGGATGCTAAAAGGCTATGCCCACCTCACCCCAAATAGCTTCCGATCAATTTTTCTTTAGATACTTTGGCAGCGGAAGTTCAGATATGGGTCAGGAAGAAATGAGATCAGAAATGGCTCTGAGAGTTGCACGTCTTTCTAAAGAGGACTTTGAACCCTTCTATGACCTTCTAAGGGGACACGGGTGGCGCTGTGGGTAAAACCTCAGCGCCTAGGACTTGCCGATCGCATGGTTGGCGGTTCGAATCCCAGCGGCGGGATGAGCTCCTGTCATTCGGTCCCAGCTCCTGCCCACCTAGCAGTTCGAAAGCACCCTTAAGTGCAAGTAGATAAATAGGTACCGCTCTGGCGGGAAGGTAAACAGCATTTCCGTGCGCTGCGCTGGTGCTGGCTCACCAGAGCAGCTTTGTCACGCTGGCCACGTGACCCCGAAGTGTCCTCGGACAGCGCTGGCCCCCGGCCTCTTAAGCGAGATGGGTGCGCAACCCAGGAGTCGGTCACGACTGGCCCGTACGGGCAGGGGTACCTTTACCTTTACCTTTTATGACCTTCTAAAACAATTGCAGAAAGATTTAGCAGTGGAAAAAGGAATGCAGCCTTCAAAGGTTTTTAGAGATGAAATCAAAATGGAATTGAAAGACTTGCCTACGAAATTTACTGAACTGCCTGCTTCAGCTAATGAAGCTTTGGATTTAGGAATATGCCATAAATCCACCATTAAAAGACTCACTAAAACTGCATCAGACTTGCAACTTCATAGGGAGTCCTGGGAGGATAGGAGTAGAATGGATAATTTATGACTGAAAGAAGCTCCAAAAAACAGGTATGAAAGCCCTTTTTGTTAACTTTAAGTGTGAATGCAAACTTCATACAGAGAATGCATGAAGCTTTGGCTACCCCCCCCCCAAGACAGCAACCCTGTGATATACAGTGGTACCTCGGGTTACATACGCTTCAGGTTACATATGCTTCAGGTTACAGACTCTGCTAACCCAGAAATAGTACCTCAGGTTAAGAACTTTGCTTCAGGATGAGAACAGAAATCGTGCTCCAGTGGCGTGGCAGCAGCAGGAGGCCCCATTAGCTAAAGTGGTGTTTCAGGGTAAGAACAGTTTCAGGTTAAGTACGGACCTCCAGAACGAATTAAGTACTTAACCCGAGGTACCACTGTAATAGCAACAATTTTTATTATTTCTGGGCAGTTCACAGGATAAAATTGCAATATAAAAACACAAAATACATAAAATAAAACCAAAAACAACCCAATAACACCCCCCCAACACATTTTAAAAGGGCAAAGGCTTGGTTAAAGAGGAACGTTTTTGTCTGGTGCCTAAAGGTGTATAATGAAAGCGCCAGGAGAACCTTCCTGGGGAGAGCCTTCCACAAACGGGGAGCCACTGCAGAAAAGGCCCTGTTCTCGTGTTGCTACCCTCCAGACCTCATATGGAGGAGGCACATGAAGAAAATGGCACGTTCCTCCTTCAAAGAAGCAATTGAGAAAGTAGCAAGAGAAGGAACGGAATTTAACATGGAAGGGAAGAAAGTCCACTACAAAAAAGAAACCTCAAAAAATACTACCCTACATGCTGGAGTGAAATACAGATGGGGCTTCCAATTTAAACTTATTTTGCAGATAGCAATACTGATAGGGCTCAGCTAGATTGGTACAGTAAAGGAAAAGTATTTTATATGCGTTGTATATGCTAGTGTTTCCCAACCGGTGTTCCGCGGCACACTAGTGTGCCGCGGAACGTTGCCTTGTGTTCCGTGGGAGGGAGGCGGGCGGCGAGAGGCGGGGCGGCGGCGGCGAGCACACGCGGGGCGGCGAGCGAGCTCCCTCCCACATCCCATCACCGCTCGCTTCGGCCGGCCTACTGGAGGAAAGCGCGAAAACCTCGCGCATGCGCAGGCCTTCCGCCTGCGACAGCCCAGTAGGCCGGCCGAAGCGAGCGGCGATGGGATGTGGGAGGGAGCTCGCTCGCCGCCCCGCGTGTGCTCGCCGCCCGACTCGCCCGCCTCCCTCCCACGGCACACCAGCCTACCTCCGTGTGCCTTTGCCCAAAAAAGGTTGGGAAACACTGGTATATGCGATATGTTATATGATATATACATATGCAATATGTGACACCAGATGGCGCTGTGGAGTCCCGTCTTTCCCTGCCTGATTTCCCTGTATGAGTTTACAACGCATTTAACTTAATCGCTTCTTTGAAGTCTCTAGATCCAGCCATTGTCACCACTCTGGCTGAAGCCAAACTAGCATTGGGAACAATTGGGAGTTCCAATACACAGAACAGGAAGAGGCAGGAGGAGAGAAACAGAGAGAATATGGGTGGCAAGGGAAGTCAAATAAGAAACCTAAGAGTTTCTTAAAGAAATTGGAAACATCATTCTTCTGCAAACTGACTGGTTTGACTTTTAATTTTTATAGGTATATCTCATATTATGCTAAGTGAAGAATATGGCAAAGGGGGAGTGAAGGAAAGCTGAAACTGGCATTTCTTTTATCTTTGCAAGAGAAAATTCAATACCCTTAGCATATTGAGCTGTTTGAAGTTGGGGCAGGGAGTGTGAGCTGTCTTGCCCCCTGTTCATATGCCATACCTGTGGACTCTTAACTGTGATGCTCTGTTGCACAGGTGTATTAAATTCCATATAAATTAAAACAGTGAAATCTCAGAAATAGAACCAACTCTCTTTGGTAACACCAATAATGCTGGAAGATGTAACTAAAGTAATTAAGAAACTTAAACCACACAAGGGACCTTGAACCTCTTGAAAGGTTGGATTGGTTAAAATAATATTACCATATATATGTGTGTGTGTGTGTGTGTGTGTGTGTGTGTGTGTGTGTGTGTGTGTGTTTCAAACCCTATCTATTTCAACAAATACTCTAAGGATATGGCCAAAAAAATGATTGTAAGCGTGAGTCATCACAGCAAGAGACCTGATCTGCGCCTAACTGTATTATATCAACTTTCTCAGAGAAGGGTAAATGGGTCTACCATACCATGATGTGGCCCATATATAGAATGTCATTAGTATGATACTCAGTGTAAAAGAGAAGATTTGGATGCAAATGAAATTAGATGAACCTGTGCAACACAGAATATCAGGCATCCCATTTTTGAGTAACAACAAAACTTTTGTAGTGATAAAGCCATTTGCAAAAGTAGAATTCGAGATCTGGCGATCCTGGATATAAAAATCAGCACCACCTATATTTCCTTTGCGTTGCAGCCCTCCTTCGACACGTCTGATCGAAAACTGATGCATATGAAATGGAAAGAAAAACGCTTGTGCAGATTGATTCACTTTTATAAAAACGATGTTTTTCTCACGGCAAATTATGGAAAGAATTGAGGGTTGTAATGTGAATTGGCTATCAGGTGATACATATGATCTCAAGTCCAACAGCTGAATCTCAAGCAATTAGACCTTTCACACAATTTGAAAAACTGATTCTGAATATCACTGAACACCCCCACCCCAAAAATATCGGTTTTATGCAAAATACTCACTGACATAGCCATTGAACAATGCTTGACTATTAAGCAAAATTGGGGAAAGGACCTAGGCATGGAAATTGTTCCATGTGTCATGGATATGTGCATAGCTGTCACCCTTCCCTTTTTTTGCGGGAAATTCCCTTATTCCAGTGCCATTTCCCACTGCTATCCCAGATTGTTAGATATCCCGTAGACTGTCCCCGGGACAGGTGAGGCTGCTGATCCCTTATTTTCGAGGCTGCTGATCCCATATTTTCAAATCTGAAAGTTGTCAGCTATGGATATGTGAATTGGTGCAACCATTTTGGGAAACTGCATTGGCAGAAATAAGCAAAATTACAAACCAGGATGTACATTGGAACCCATGTCTAGGTTTATTAATAATATTTATATATACTCAAATTATCACACGAGGAACTTGCCACTTTTCTTCTGGTAGTGGCAAGATTGCCTATAGCATGAGACCGGAAAGGAAGCTCACCTGTAGATCCCACAGTGGAAGCAGAATGTATAGACAACTGCTTTATCTGAGAAGCTAAGAGAATACATGCCCTGAATCGATGCTTCGGATATGGGTGGTTTTGTTGAAATATGGCACCTTTTTTATAAAAAACTCAATTGAGCATCTCTGACGACTGGCGCCCACAAACTACGTGTATGGATTTATGGGAGAATTTGACACTATAATAGTCTTCTGCTCTGTTTTGATAATATTTGTGTTTATATTCTTTTCTTGAAAATGAATAAAATGCTTTAAAAACCAAACGTGTCTACCTTTCCCCCCCCCTTGCTTTTCCCTTCAGGGGTGGGCTTTGGATGGTCGCCCCTGCCCCCACCCCATGGAGGTGGGGAAAGAGGAGCGCGCCCCCTCTCCTCTCTTTGCGCCAAAGCTCAAACTGG